TGAATTCATCACAGTCCGTCAGACAATGAATCACACTGCAATGACAAACAACAGAATTTTCAATGTTCAAACAGACTTTTTGTAATTGATTTGCAGTCATTTCTTGTACCTTTAACTATAGCTTATATACCGATTGAGAGCTCTCCACCCCCTTCTTTTCTTTGCTCCTGAATCAGCACAGTGAAAGCTCATTGTATTTTCACATGTGCATAAATAGTCTTTGTGTGCAACTAGTGTAAAAAGCAATGGAGGAAAAATGCCATTGTCTGCGTTGTGGCTCTTCCAAGCAGAACCTGTATAAACTGTGCAGAAAGCAAGCATGCATAACCTAAGGAACATGTGTTGGTACATAAATTATCATATTTACATTAGAAAAAAACGCACATAGCCACAAAGAAACACTTGCAAGCTTTCTATTTTTTATTGTGGCACCAATGGGCACATTCACCTGCCACTGGATATCTCATGATCATTGACTTTATTCGGAAGAGACAGAGAATTGTCAGAATAGCAAAAGCTGAGGCCTCATATTAGCCTTTCTGTCACCGCGCTGAGATGTGGATGGCAATAACAGGCATGGGCTGTCTCCTAAAGTAAATCTTCTAACATTGAAATGGTAAGACAGGAAATGTAACACACACCTGTCCACAAGTCCAAGATAGTGGTTATTTTTGCAATATTTTTCTTATGTATTATTATTCCTTCCTATTATGAGGTCAGTGAGGTGCAGTCATCTTATTTTTTCTTACACACACGCACACACACACGGGCTGCAGTTCTTCATTTAGCTACAGAAGAGAGCACTTTTTGGACAGCTTTGTTTTGTCTTTCCTATGTCTATATAAATCACTCAACATAATACCTATTCCTCAATTTGCATATGTAGCGCTCACAATGCAGTACCTATATTCAAACTGTGAAAGGAGGGAGTAGTAGTATTTAAATCAGTCTAACTTTTTTCTAGCTCTCACAAATCCTTTACCAGGTCACAAAAAAGTAAAACCGGGTGGGCCACAATAGTACAGTGAATCAGGGTCCACACCAAAGTGTCGTAAAGTGACTCACATGCTTATTTTATCCAAGATTCCAATGGATACAATGTTTTATGATTAGATGAAGACAGCGTGTAGTGGTCTGATCTTTGTAATCGGTTTCGGGTTTTATAGTACACACAGAATTTACTAATTATGAGGAAGAAAACTACAAATAATGCATCAGTTGAAAAGAGCAATTGCAAGGAAAATAAACTGTTAAATTGTAAAATGATAAAATGGGAAAAAAGACTTTTGTGATAGACCTGATCATGCCCTGATATTTAGATGGCTGGTACTTAACTAAATAAAAGAGTAAATGGGTTTCATAATAACAAAAAAGTAGGACTGTTGCCATAGCAGTGAACAATTTAAACTAAATACTATATATTTTGAATAGGGAAAGTCCTCAAAATAGTGTATATAATAAGAAACTGAAACCCACAAATACAGGGGGAGGCAAACTCAAAGGTCTGAACAGTCGGTGGGAGGACTGTCCTGTAAATGAATGAACACCTGGATTAATGGGGTCAGTGATTAGCGGGCTGCTGAGGAGGGAGAATCCTGGCCAAGGCGGACATTTTACTTTTATTGCATGTCTCACACAGTGTTTCCCTCTGCTGGTTTTACAGGGGCTTTACAAGTGTCTATAAGGGGTTAAAGCATCAGGGCGCACCATTGTAGCTATGGGGTTAAAACCTGCAAACTCCAAAGAGCATGTTTTTATAGCATTATGTATATAAAACTGTATTGTTTTTGTAGATGCATTTCATATGATTTTAAAATAAATGGAAATAATGAGCTTTTTTTCAATTTTTTTTTCTATATACTGTATATTATATAATGTTTGTTGTGTGTATATACTAATGTTAACAAAGTAGGATTCTGTATAAAGTCCAAATTTTAAGCATGAGGATTCATTTTAGAGAGAAAACTAAAGTATAAACAGATTAATACAAGAATCAGAACATTTTTGTGGAGGTCTACTACAGGGTTAGTAGCTTTTAGACATGATATGATGCTTGCTATTTACAAAAGAAATTATTGCAATTCTTGCAATTTGCTAATTGCAACCATTTAAATTGCAATTTAGATTTGATTGCAATATATTTTGCAGCTTTAATATGTAATACTAATCCATTTCTGAGCCCATTTTGCTGCTATACAAATGCAAGTGGTACACAATGCTTTCCTTGGCTTTCTGAGGGAGCTCAGGACACAGCTGGCCCTTTAAATCCGGCTCAGAGGGCTTGGCGGGCTAATAGATGCAGTCTAAGGTGCTAATAGATGGCAAGCTGAAAAATGGCCTTATCTGAAAAGGTCCCGGACAGTTATAAATGAAATAATGACAAAGGGCACATTCATCTATGTTCATGGCCTTCTGGGGACCCTCTAGCTCAACATTTGATCTGTGTGTGACTGTCTGTGTATCTGGTGCACATGCAAGTGCTCAGCAATAAAATAATGTTCCATGACTTGCCTTTATTCTCTAAATAGTTTATACTAGGCTGTATTGCTGCAGAGGATGTGGCGGGCAGGCTGCAAGACAAAAAAGGAAAACGAAATTAACAAAGTCATAAAAGTAGACTTGGGACATTTACTTCACAGTGGGCTGCTGCCATTAGACACTATCGTCAAACTGTTCATGTGGTTTTAAAGTGAGAGGAAACACTGACTTCTTACACAGGGAGTGATCCTGACTGGAAACAGCTCATTATTACACACCATTACTGTATCAGCAGCAAATGTAACTTCCACATGTTTTGTTTTCATGATCTGTTTTATAGCCTGTGCTTAAAAATGTCCACACATCTTCTTTGTCTTAACACAGACCACATGCAAATCCCTATGTTGGGAAGAGTACAATCCTCTTGTAATATAATAGTTTGTGTTTCATTACAACTATGTGGAAATTGTTCTTGTAAATTTAATTAAATGTAACTCATAGTCAAGGACGCCCTCTAGTGGTCGGCTGTGGTCAGAGCCAGTCATTTAGTGTGCGTTCACACAGGATTGGCTGGGTCGTGGGTTGAGTCTAATTTAGTCCTGATGTACGTAGACTTGGTTTGGTCCTGTACCAGTGGTGCTTTGGCCCTGACCTGATCAAGGTTTAGTTCTGGGTTTATTCTTGTTCCCAATCAGGCAAGGGCGAGTGCACAGTATAAACCTACAGTTTGTAGCCAAGCTTACCACACTTTGGCGACAACCAACATGACGACAGATCCATGACAGAAACACGTTTTTCCTCACATTGTCCCTGGTAGTTCCTTCGTATTCTCCGAGGCAAGATTCACGGTGAACTTGAGGTTGAAGGGTAACCCAAACGACATCTGGAGGAGGAGATTTAGCCAGAGCGTGGAGTGAAGTCACCAACTAATGAGTAAGCAGTATGGGGGTAATTGATTACGTTGCATTTTCAGCCATTTTGAAAACATTGATGCCCTGCCTTATAATAGCCTACATCATTTGCCCATGCCGAATTAATAGCAATGGAACACCGCCATCTAGTGGTTCCAAAGCGAAATGTAAAACGATTAGTATGAATTATGAGAAGTAGTCCAAATATGAATGCCTAAATAATGCAGTTTACTACTTTTACAAACTACCAATACAAACCACTTGAAAAGGCTAAAAAAAAAAACAAAGATGCCATTGTGTTAATTACACACATAGAAACAACTACCCGTCTTTCACTATTACATTATCAAAACATTTACACCTTCTTGAGCAGGAAATGTCTATTGAAAGTTAGCGTTAGTTGGTGCTACTTTTGTGACAATGGTATTTCAGGAGATAAACCTTCTCACCGTGTCCCACCAGGCGGGCTCCTGGCTGACAGCAAGGGGTAATGCTCTTACAAATGCTCATTAGTGTGCAGTGTGCACTTAGGCACAGGTCACAGACCATGATGTCGTGTCCTCTATTGTCAAATTACCACAGAGTAACAGTCTGACTTCAATGGAGGGAACAGAATCAGAAAACAGCAACATGCCATGTATTAGTTAAGGAAAATGCAAAAGGGGCCACATTCAAATTTGTGTTATTCAAATATTTGTAAGCAGGTATGGACATACAGTGAAATAGCCTTAAAAGGATGTAACTGCTGCGGCTTTGCTGAGGGAACCAACAATACAGTATTTAGTCTTATGCAACTTATGTAAACATATCTGAGAACAGAACATGAACGCACATTGCTTCATAGAAACTGTGGCAGTACTGTAAAATGTGTAGAAACTAATTGAAAGAATTCATAAAGGAACCAGTGTAAATTGTACATACGTAATCCACCACAAGCAACAAGAATATAAAAATATCACACAGGAAGTCCACCGATTACACTCTGAGACCAAGAAGCAGTGGGAAACAACTTAAATGCACTCCTAAACTCTGGCCATTTTCCAGCAGGTCAAACCCAGGATAATCCTTAACTGTATATTGGTAGAGCAGGACTTAGAAACACACTGAAACAAATATATGCAACAATTATAAGAATATACACCTTACTATTGTACAGTTGAAGTACACTGGGTATAAAATGTGTATATACCAGAGTGATAGGTAAAGAAAACCCTGTTAAAGGTGTCATAGGCAAATACAGGAAGAAGGAGGAGGAGGGGACGCTCTGTGATTGGCTGGCTTGTTCGTGACGCGAGCAGCTTGGTGGATTGAAGTGCTGTGTCCTGTTGAATTTAATCCTAACTCATTAAGGAACAGTGGGCATGTGGCCGTGATCGCCCTCAGGGGAAAGAGGGAGAGAAAGTGTCACAAAGAGGGAAGGAGCACTAAACAATCCTACAAGGGAGATAAGTGGACCTAATTTACAGCTTGTGAGGTGCAAGCAGCAAAGAAAGAAACATTAGATTTTTTTTTCCTTTTGTCTCATGCCTGCTTTAGCCCATTACAACTGCTTTTGTGTCTACTAAAGCTTTTTTTAAAATTACTGCTCATAGGAGTGGCCCGCGTTGAAGCATGCCCACAAACGGAATTAACAAGGCCTTGAAGCTCCAGTTTGGCCTAATCAACTATGAAAACCGCTACCTGACAGCAGAGGCCTTTGGGTTCAAGGTGAACGCCTCGGCAAACAGCATGAAGAAGAAGCAGATTTGGACACTGGAGCAGGATGAGCTAGACGGACCAGTGGTGTTCCTGCGCAGCCACCTGGGACGCTACCTGGGATCAGACAAAGATGGGAAGATCTCGTGTGGGGCAGAGAAGCCAGAAGCCGAGTGCAGATTCATCATAGTTCCCCAGTCCGATGGCCGCTGGGCACTGCAGTCAGAATTGTACCAGCGTTTCTTTGGAGGTTCGGCCGACTACCTCTCCTGCTTTGCCCAGGTCATTGGGGAGCAAGAGCTGTGGGCGGTCCACTTGGCACTTCACCCACAGGCTAGTTTGTTCAGTGTGGCACGCAAGCGCTATGCCCATCTGTCTGGCACAGATGGGGAGATCTCTGTAGACAGCAACATACCCTGGGGAGTGGACTCTCTGGTCACCTTGGTGTACGCTGACGGCAAGTACAGCCTGAAGACCTGTGACAGCCGTTTCCTCAGCAACGACGGTAAGCTGGTGAAAGAGAGTAGCAACAGCACAAGCTTCACTCTGGAGCTCAAGTCAGGCAAGCTGGCCTTCAAAGACTGTGAGGGGAAGTACCTGAGTCCTGTGGGGCCCACGGGAACACTCCGGTCCGGACGTTGTTCCAAACCGGGGAAAGATGAGCTGTTTGACCTGGAGGAGAGTCACCCGCAAGTCGTGTTTCAAGCTGCCAATAAAAGATATGTGTCAGTCAAACAAGGTACTAACACCTCATCTAAGAATTATCCTCCAAGCACACTATGTCTTTTTACTTTTAATCACCTATGCATTTTACTCTGCTTAGTTAAAGATATCCCATGCACCTATGTTCTAAAACACAATTACGTAAAAATAATATTTGAATATTCAAGGTCAGACAAATGCTCTATATTGAGCATACGACAAAGGATCACAAGGGTTTTTGAAGTCCAGTATATAATACCATAGTGGACTGAGTTCATGCAGAGTTTTTAATCGACTCTTAGATTTATAGTGCAGCATCTTCTATATGTCACAGTCAGGACAGAGCCATCATTATGGAGCTATAGTCAGACAGAGAATGGCAAAGTGAATGCTTTTCTCACACTGTTAAAATGATATGGATGTATATTGTGCACAATGTAATTATGTTACATTATTAGTATAATTGCACTTACTAAGAGGAACCTCACTGACTGTGCGGAGTAGAAACAGACCTGTTGGTAAGCTCAGACTTCCCAATAAAGACCTGCTCCATTGAAATGGCCGGACACACCTAGAAGAAGGCATTTGTCGTAATGGGCTTTGTCATCTCCACTGTGTGTCCATTGAAGATTAAGCTGCGTGCAAATGACTTTGGGGCAGATCCATGGCCCAAAGGTGTAAATTACATTCAATGGTCCTTAAGCCCTGTAGTTACAAGCTCTTAAGCTGCATCTTCAGCACACGTTGTTGTAAATGTTCCAGTGGGATAAACCATAAGGTGGTCACAGAAATTAATCATTGTTTACTTTTAAACAATGATTAAAAACCATAATAATTTAATTATAAAAATAAAAAATAAAAAAAACATGGGGCAATTGCGCATATAGCATGATCAGATTTACCACAGCGTGCTATGTGGAACAGTGGAACTGACTTGAACTTCTATTTAATCAACTCAGTATCTTTTAAAACTGCAATATTTGTGAGCAAACATGCATTGGAAATATAATTTCTGGAATCATGTGCAACATGATTTATTTAAGACAATTTGTAATTCTTATGTTTGGCTAGTGCTTAGTAATGTTTTAAGGAGCGATGTACAGAAAGCTGCTTAGTGGGTCCTGCAGCGCAGATTTGCATTTCACCACTCAGGGACTTAGAGCGGGACATGAACAGAGAGGGTGGAGGGGCGACTGTGGATTAGGCTGTAACAGGCTTAAGAGAAAGGTTGGAGGATATTTTAGTGGCACCTAATTTGAACTGCAGCCGACACAGCTGATTGATACGTGTCTGTGTTCTCCTGCACATGACATACTCACGCACTGATAAAGCCATGGATTAAGTAAATAACAAACAATTGAGACACTCATCTCAGTATGGTTGCGCCAAATGAGCAATATTGAAAGTGCTCATTAAACTAAAGAGGTGCAGGGCTGAAGGGTTAGAGCACTAAGCGATTACTAAGTGGTCTACCAAGAGCAGAATCTGTGTGTTTATAAGCAATGCAGCATTTTAAAGATGATTTTGTTTTATATACACTTCACACTGCCTTTTGAGCATGTGTATTTTTTATATATTGATGTTTTATGACTAGATTTATTATTATGTAATAAGTTGAATATGTTTGAAATAAAAATGAATTAATCAATTAATCAAATCAATCAATAAATAGTATGTGGACTATATTTTAAAAAAAATCCACATACATTCAGGGCTTATCTGCAATTAATTATTGAACTTTTTATTATTGACTCATGTTTTTTCTGTTCAGAAAGTCATCATTGTTTAACAATGCCTAATGAGGTGGATTACCCTTCTTAACAGGAGTGAGCATTTCAGCCAATCAGGATGTGGAAACGGACATGGAGACTTTTCAGATGGAAATTGACAAAGAGACCAAAAAGGCCATATTCAGGACTAATGGTGGCTCCTACTGGACTCTGGTGACTCATGGAGAGATCCAGTCCACTGCCACAGAAGTGTGAGTAGTACGCTCTTGCCCTCAGCTGCACAGAGGAGCATTTATGCTGCTTTCTTTTGACTTCCATTTCAATACGCATCTGTCCTTTTCTTGTTCCAGTGAGGTCAATACTATGTTTGACATCGAGTGGAGAGGACAAAGAGTGGCTCTTAAAGCCAGCAATGGGAAGTACGTCTGTACCAAGAAGAATGGCCAGCTGTCTGCAGTCAGTGACTCTGTTGGTGGGTGATTTTGGTCTCATTCTAAACCAAGACTTGTACACACAGTCCTAAAAGGTCCTTTTAATTCAGGTGATGATGAGTTATTTCTGATGAAGCTCATCAACCGCCCAATCCTCATCCTCCGCGGAGAAAATGGCTTTGTGTGTCACCATAAGAACTCCAACACCCTGGATGCAAATCGATCCATCTATGATATCTTTTCATTGATTTTCAGCGATGGAGCATACCACATAAAAAGTCAGTATTTAAATAAGTATTACAATACCTGTGTGTGCAGCTCCAATTCCACTACCCTTCTATTTAACAATATATATATTTTATGGTACGAAGGCAGCCAGATGAGCATTGTGTCATTGAATGTAAACTCATTCATGTTTTAGACCAGTTTACAAATTACAGATTATTATTAATGCATATTTTGTGAAATGCATGCTGTTCTATATATTGCACATGTTTTTTTGTAGGAACAGGGAGCCCATCTATGCATAAATAGCATGCTACTTTATAAACATACATGAATGTGTTGTTGATCATACACAAATAACACAAGTACTGTTTGAACAGGTGCTAATGGAAAATACTGGAATGTTTCCAGTAATGGCCTGGTGTGTTCAGATGGAGAGAAGTCTGATGACTTTTTCCTGGAGTTTGTGGAGCATGGACGAGCTGCCATCAAATGCTCCAATGGGAAATATCTCCGTGGAGACCAAGGAGGTACACTGATGGGTGATGGTACTTGTGTTGATACTTTGTCTCTGTGGGAGTACTGACAAATCTGCAACTGCAACTGCCATTCCTGCTGCCACCAACATCTATAAAGTAGCCTACTTCTTATGAACTCTGCTCTACTGCCAATTGCCCAAATTATGTAACTGGTAAGAGTTGCTGGCTCCATGACACTCACATCACTGTTTTGAAATGTCAAAATTAGTGAATGAGGAATGAATAGATATCACATTTTTCATTTTTCTTTAATTGACCAGTATAGTTACCGCCAAGCGTAGCTGTTGGAGTAATGAATCCATTCAGTCTACTCCTGGTTCTGTATTCGCAGCAGCTAGAACATTTGAATACTTGTCCATCAGGCTGGTCACTGATGTCATTTTTTGCAAACCAAATTCAAATATGGCAAATGACTCATGCCAGTGGTGTTTTGTTTACATGAATTGTCCCTTAAGGCATTTCTTCTTTTAAAGAAATAAAATTATGTTTGTAGAACTCCATATTTTATTGTGGCTCACACATAGTGTACATATTATGGAATAAGGCACATAAGGAGAATTACAAAAATAATAGAAGATCTATGGTGTCCTTCTCAAGAGCCTTAATTGTGGACATTTACATCCTATTTTCATTCCCTGTATAGAAGAAAACAGGAGGTTGCATAACAAAAGAGTATGTGTATGATAACGTCCATAACATTACGTTTGAAAAACAATCTGGAATCCACCCATTTGTTTGATTTATTATTCATTGCAAGTGAAAAAAACAATTTTGTGGAAATGCCTTTGACTGCACTTGGTTCTGCAAGAGTACCAAACAAGGCCAATGTTGTCTTTTATTTGATTTTTAAAATACATAAAATTATTATTTAGGCGATTGCATTTGTACTGGTACTCTGTACTTGCCTGATTGCTGAATTTAGTTTATAAAATGTATCACAAATACTAGGCTACACAAATAGTTTGCAATACAGTGTAACTTTTTTTTAGAATACATGTTGTAATTAAAACTGGAATTTTCTATTTCCACATAGAGTTTTGATTTTAATGGAATTTTTCTGTGAACCTCTGTGCTGTGACTTACACATTACACATTTTTTATATGTAAGATACAAATGTTTCCTTACACTGTTTTTGGACAATAATAATAATAAAAAACATATATCTTCCATCTTCTCTTGCAGCATTTTGTAACTGAAAACAATTAGGGGCTATCCACTTCATCAGTTATTGGAACTTGACGTTAACAAGTCTTATTATTTTAATCCTCTAGGGGGCAGTGTGTACTGCTCTTTGTGATACGGTTCCTTCCCTGCAGCTTTAGTGCAATCAGAACCAGCACCTCCCAGGTCTCCCTCGGTGGCTGCGTTTTACAAAAAGCTTCAGCTCTTCTCCTAATTGCAATTTCCCACTCCATTCTGAGATCTGTTCTAAATTCTGGTCAGCTTAGTATGTATTTTTAAAGCACTGGGCAGTTCTGTGCGGCCCCTTCTCATTATGCTAAGCTTTCCTGTTTGAATGTGTAATTGCTTTGGTGGAAGGTGTGTTTGAGTATTAATGTGCATGGATAGACTCATTATAAACCAGTAGCCACTGAGATGAAACGATCTTACAGATTAACTAGAGTGAATTGTGCACTCTTAATGGAGCGTATCCTGCTGCATGTTCAACTAAGTGAACTTTCTGACCCAGTGGTTTTCGTCTGTCTGTAAACTCGATGGCTCTCGGTATCTTCAGCTAAAAACAGTCTGTATGCAAGCATAGTCGCCCCAGCACTGCACTAAAACAAGCGTGACTCATATTAGTAATGGAACCTACTCAGTACTTTTCTTGAATAAAAAACAGGAGACTTTATTAAATACTTAAAGGTGCTGTATGTAACTTTTCATGCTTGCCTCCGCTGAGGTATTATTGATTTGCACCGTGGTTGAATTGGTTTGATATTGGATGTTGGATAAAGACGTTTAACTTGTAATGCTTATCACAGATTTTTTTTCAAACAACTTGTAACGTCTTCATAATCATCCAGGGCATATATCACAAGACAGTAATTATTACAAAATCATTCTACGAGCTGATTTAATGCATATTTCTGAATTCATCACTCAGTTCACTTTTGATGTACAGATGTGGACAAAATTATTGGTACCCATCTGGTAAGGAAAGAAAAATCAGCAATGGTCAGAGCTCAATGTTTTTTTGTTTTTGTTTTAAATAATTACTGTCTTGTGATATATACCCTGGATGATTATGAAGACATCACAAGTTGTTTGAAAAAAAATCTGTGATATTCATCCCGAGTTAAATGTCTTTGAATGTGTCGAATATCCAATATCAAACCAATTCAACCATGGTTTGATTTGCCATGAATGCTCTTCTGGCTATAAGCTACATAGTTACACGTTACATAGTACATCTACAAGAGTGAGTTGAAAATATACAGTATGTCTTCTATTGAATTTCACTGCACATCAACTGAACACCTATATTCAGTGCAACACATCAGGGTCAGTGGAGAAGAAGCTGTGGATCAGGTCAGGTGTACAGACAGGCTTCAGCTATACACAGTCAAGAAAGGAACTGAGGATCTAAAACAAAGAAATATCATGAGTCCCTATAGCTGCACACTCAATAATATATGTTTTCAGCCCAGTATACAGTGTAAAAAGTAGGGATGGACATGAGAACAATGATCTTTCACATGTTTACATTTGGATTGGTCCAAAAAGTGTTGGAATAGTGCTACAATGACAGCAAAGTAAATTTATATCATATTAAGTAAAGTAGAGCGCAAAAATAAAAAATAGTAAAAGGCCAAAATTGTGAAGCGAACCGCATAATTTATTTATTATAAAATTTCTCCTTCTCGTGGACCCAATCTTGTGTGTCATCTTGTGGAAATTACATCCTGTCCCATCCCTATTAAAAAGAGAAGACCATGGTTTGATGTAACACTATTTTGTAGATGTTCTCAGTTTTCTTTTGCTGCAGCAGGAGAGTCTGAAGTAAACACATCGGAATAACCAGTCCCTTTCAGCTGTCTTTGAGAGTGAGTAAACATGCCTCCATCTTGTTTGTCATTTTATGTCACATCACTAACTTTCTATCCTCTTTCACTATCTGCACACAGTTCTGTCTGAGGAGCTCAAGCCTCAGAATGTGTTTTACCAATTCACAATTCCCCTGCTATGCATGTTCAGTTTAAAACTACCTCAGTCTACTTTGAAAAAAAAAAAAAAAAAAAACTGGCTCTCCTATGTGAGCCTACTTATTCTAGTCAAGAGCATCAGCATCAAGAGATCTTTTGTTTCCTCTGTAAACCATTGACCCACATACATAACATTGCACCAGTTCATATGATGTTTTAATAAACAAAATATAATAGTAGTAGAAGTCCACCAAAATAAGATGATATAATTTACAAAATAATATATCTTTGCAAATGATGGACAGTGTTTTACAGAATGTTTGGTTGTCCAGATCCAGAAAATAATTTATAATAACTATTCTATGTAGTCTTAAGCTATAATACATTAACCCTTTGCAAAACACTCTTACGTAGAGTTCCATTCTGGTCCATTTTTTTTAGGTTAGATTTATATGTAATTTTCTCAAGTGTTTAATTTTTGTAGTCTGTGAGGTTGCTTGTGGTTGCTATGTGAGTCCTCTATTAATTCTGCAATACAGGTTCTTAAAAAGCAAGACAAGATGCTGAGCAGGGAACAACTAAAGATGATTCTCTGATGTTTTGAAGAGGTTATATTGAGATACACAATAGAAGAGTACAATTTCACATAAAACTCCAACTGGGCCCCCATATCTAACAAACCATGATTGTGCCTTAATCAGAACTTCCTTTTCAACTTTGCGCTCAGCAGGTCAAATTGAAGCAAACAACACAAGCAATCCTCTTCCTCCGCTATGCATCATCTGTGTTGGGTTCATCACTGTCCCTTCATTGACCCACTTAAACAGACTGGGAGCACCACAAGAGGTTTTGAAGATGCTCTGATCCAATCATCAAGTCTTCACATTGTTCCCTCTCCCTTTCCTCTGCACACCACATGCAGTCTGCCTCAACATATGTGTAACAGCACGGAGGTATATTAGACGGTATATAAAACAGCAGAGGGTCATAATGTTATGCTTGATTTGTTGTATGGATATAAATATGACATGTAGACATGTAAAATGTATAACTGAATGAAGGTCAAAGTTAGTTGGCACGAGATAAATATAATGGGACTAATTGTAGGCATGCAATTTGCTGTGCCACTCCCACCCTGAATGAAAATAATAATAGGATACCCATATAGCAGTGAACTCTGGGACCTCTCAGACAAGCATCCCGACATATATAACATAAATAGCACCATCATTTTCATATGGAATCCTGTGCAATATACAACCATGACAGATGGTCTTAATGTCACTGTATGCAAGCCATCCAGAGGTCAGCTGTCTCACCCACTGAATAAATATGCCGCAACCGCTGTGATTATTCAGGCTTGATTGTCGCCTCTGCTGGTGTAGTTTTATGTGCTCGGAAATGTAATTAATTCAGCCACACTGCAAACTTTATCGTTGTGTATGCGTGCCCGATATGTCAGCAAGTCATTTTTACTCTCAATTCAATTAAGTGTAGATTGACAAGTCCTTGCTTTTCCCCCTGAAAGCAGATCCCTGGACTGACAGCCTATCTCTCTGTGGCCTGTGGTGGCATGGGTAATCAAAATAAAAGTAGGGTGAAGTGCATTCTATTAAGTGATTGGGGGGATGTTCTTCTTGGCACCAAATTATGTGTTTGTCATGCCAGGCAATCAGTTGCCAAGGCTGAATTTATATGAAGTGTATCACACAATAGTCTTTTGTGACCAATCCAATATGCTGAGGTGTCAGATTGTATTCAAGTTAGTTCATGTGGTCCACTCTGGTGTTGGATTTGGCATTGCTTTTAACTAGGATGCCCTTCCTGATGCAGCTAAGTCAATGCGTCTGTGTTTGAATTGAGCATTTTAAGAACCAAAGTGCCTTTTCTATGGGGAGACGGTAGCTCAGTTGGTAAAGTGTCCACTGATCCGAAAATTGGGGATTTGGACATACAACATCTTTGGTAGAGCGATCTGACCCATAGGTTGGCACTGCGATTCCAGCTCCCACAAATGAATACTTTTGTTGTGTTCTTAGGCAAGACACTTAACCCCACCATCCCCACGTCCCCAGTGTCTGTGTAGACTGGCGTACAAGTGTGCTTGGTTATGTGTGTCTGCGTGTGAATAGGTGAGTGATTTCTTGATGTAAAGTGCCTTGAAGGTGGAAAAGTGCTGTATTTTGTGACCATTTACCATTTCTGTTTTTTACTGCCATAACTGCTATAGTGTTACACTGTATGCCCTATGTAATGAATAAAACACTAAGAATACACAAATAGAGAGAACTGTCCTTGCACTACATCATTGCAAAGCTGAACAGTACCCCTAATACCTCACCAGGTACTTGACATGATAAAGAGTGAACCCTAGCACACATTTTCTAGGGGAGCACTGTGCCCTGGAATGGATTCAATATGTCCAAGAGTAATGGGAGAGCTGACTCGTCCAGACTCCAGGACTAAAGGTACAATGGAGAATTTGTGGCAGTGCCTGAAAATTGCCTCTCACTCACGGTCCTCCCGGTGCACCTTGACAAGTCCAGTTTTACAAGGAAGAATGGATGTGCAACCACAGTGGGAAAGACTGACAATCTACTCTAGAATATACACATAGAAAACATGTACCCAGTTTGATCGACATAAAGCAGCAGTTTTAGGCACAAGTTTCTCTTTCATTGTGGATGTTCATTCATTTGCAGAATTACAATGAAAAGTCATTTAAGTGTTTCGTTTTACAGGCGTTATTCACTCAACTCCAAGGACACACTGCCTCAAAGCTTTTCTTTTTTTGTTAATGACTTGCACTGTTCACATACCAACCTACAAAATCAGCAACACCCAGAGACAGTGAAAATAAATTAAATATATATATATATATATATATATATATATATATGCATATATGTTTGTTTTTTTTAACCATATAAAGGGCATTAAGCTGTAAGTTATTTTTTAACAATAATAGTTATCTGTAAATGCCTCCGTGCGATAAGTTTTTTACTCAGACATGAAGAGATCTATACTTACAGCCTTTAAAAGTCTGAATGAACACATTTACTCAGAGATTTCTGGTTTTATCCTCTCACTGGCAACACTATAATTATAAACTATCTACTTAAATCTCCAAAAATTCCAAATGATTTACTACAAATTAAGTATAGGCTGTAAGAGTGCAAGTGCGTGTCGACATTAAGTAGGCTACGCAAAAGAGAGCAAAACCAGACCGGATAAAGTATCAACGTAAAGGTGTTATTTTCATTTTTCATTGCGCACAGATATGTGTTTAATTTTATTTTGTGGTCTCTAACCGGAAGTCATTGATTGCATTTCTGTAAATTGACTTGGGATAAAAGCAAAAGCGCTGCAGCCGCGGTCATTCGTTTCTAAATCACAGAAACAAAAGCGCATCTCTCTCTGCTCTTTCAACAAGAAACAGGAGTTGGATGATATTATATTCATATACTTTATGCATAACAGCAGCGGTGATGGAGGCATTGCACTTTGGAGACTGATCCAGCTGGAGCGCTTTTACGCACGGGCACATCCCCACACTGTTAAGCCACAGTAAACGCTCTGTGGATACTGTGGAGAATGAGGTACGGCTTGGTGGTCCTCACCGCGGGCTTCACCGGATTGTTAAGTTTCTGCCTTTTGGCCGTGGCTATCGGGACCGATTATTGGTATATTATTGATGTGAATAAGCCTAACTCCACTGCGTCCGAGGACTATAATTCACATTCTGGACTGTGGAGAATCAATGAAGGTAAGGGACACAAAATGCTGTATGTTTTAGATCAATAAAAGCAATCACAAACTTCAGAAGGGTTTACTGTGGTTTAAATGAACATTGGTAGATTGTATTCAGCTGTGGCGAATGGCCATTTAAAAGCAAACTGGAATTTATGTTATGTTGATCATGCTGCTGCTGGACTCTTCTGGGTTGCCATAATTGCCTCATATGAATGTCTTGCTGGCGTTAGAAAAAGTGTGCCAGTCTATAGAAAGACTGAGGTTGGGCCTTGTTTGTCCTACGATGTTGCATCGAGAGGATTTTTACTTTGACTCCAAGAATGCAATTAACGCACAAAGAAATGGCACCGGCATGTGACCTGAATAAGAGATTGCCTACCCTGCACCAGAAAGCAGCAAGTGGAACAAATTTCCCAGAGAATGGTGAAGGCCACTGTTGCGCCACTCTTGGGTTCAGCAGGTGCCCAATTTCTCCAAAGGTGGGAGTAGTTCACACGTTGAAACTGGTGAGAATAGGCAAGCTAATCGTCATCACCTTTGTCAAAGTGCCCTCCGACTTGATATCTCCGGCCGTCCGGTTGTTAAAGTGTCAGACATTTGTGATTTATGTTAAAGGAAAAAAGCGGACACATCTCTCAAGGAGCGACTTTTCCCCTGTGAGTGTAACCTTTCAATGTGGCATTTTTATTTTCAGGCGCAAACAAGAGCTCGGTTATCCCCTCCTTCATGGCCAACACGTCCGGCCTGTCAGATGTGGAGAAGGACCTTCTCAGTGAGTGACTCTGTCGTAGACTGATAAAGCTTTGAGCGCTCAGACTGGGCTCCTATGCAATTTATAATAGGCAGTAGACTGATGTACCTCCGTAGAGCTAAATGTTTTCAAGGGGTCATTTGGCCCATGTGGCGACGGAGAGTATTTTAAAGAGCACAGATTAAGCTCAAGGACCACTGAAGTGAATATAATGTGTAGAAGGCACCTGTTAGTGTTGGGATTGATGATGCAGTAAATACAGTGACAGGGACCATAAGGTGTCCAGACATCTGGGTTGTAACACCTCCAACAGCAGTTTATGCTAGTGCTAATGTAAGTATTTCACACGTGGTTCAAGAATTGAACTGTCAGCCCTATAATCTCTAGTGTGCCTGTGTCTCAAAATGCCCTCTTATAATTAACATGCTATATTAACAGACATATTACATATTTTCTCAAATGAAGCACATAAGGTTGATTTTTTTTTTTTTTTTTTTTTTGTAAATGCAACCATCACCCAACACAATGACAAATGATGTCTAAAATTGTGTAAATCTTCTTGTCAGAGATGTATGAATCCTTGTCATGATAAATGTTCTAGTCAGTCAGCCTGTCTGTCCCCAGACAGGACCCAGAGTGTTGTCTGGTCAGAGGGTCTTGTCATCAGAGCCAGTGTTTATGCAAATGAAATAGTACATTTTATCTTGATACACATTCATCAAGCCCAGAGAAGAAAGATTTACACTATTTATAGACATTATTTGTCATTGTGTGATTGCTACATTGGTGATGGCTACATTTTGAAAAAAAAATGATATCGAAGCATAAACACCACAATTCTTGTTTATTCATATCAAATAAAATGCTTTAAGATGCTATGTTTATAATGTTTATTATGTTTATAATGTGTTTGGGATAAGCAACTCCAGCAAGTCTCCAGTTCACGCAGTGGTCTGGTCTTTTTATCTGCTCCCCGCCCGTTTTTGATAATAATTATTATAGTGTAATAATAGATTACAGTACCCTATACTTTACAGAAATTTGCTCATTAGAATTTCTTAGATCAATTATTGTTTAGGTCCAGCCCACCACCACCACATGCCTGGATTCAAATATGGAATAAATAATTGCCCACCCCCAGTCTAACCATGGCACACTCATTTTTATGAAGAATAATCTCCACATCCCAACTCACCAAAAGCAAGGGTGGAATAAAAACAGATTTGTGCAAATGTAGGTAAAAATAGCAAACCACAGTGAGAGGATATTGCCTTTACTGTAGTTCAAAAGATTGTGAATGTCCAAATAGATAGCAAATAGCTCTTGCTATTGCTCCATTTTTATTGGCTTTCTTCTGGTAATGAAAACCAATGGCTCCCTGGGCGGCTCAAATCCATTGAAACCTCAGCAGTTTCCACAAATAATGGTAGTCAGCATGAGTGTAAAGTGCCCTATGTAAAAGAACAACATGGCACTGAGTGTTCTGCTTTGATTTCCAGGTTTGCACAAGATGGTGGTGATCATTCTGCCCCTCAGTCTCATCCTGCTGGTGTTTGCGTGGATAGTGGGGCTTGTGAGCTCATTGGCCTGCAGTCCCAAGCTGTTAGCAGGATCAGCGGCCTATATACTCTTCTGCAGTAAGTCTATCCTTTCTCTTTTCAAACTTAAAATAAAACTACTAAAACAGTATCCAGATATATTTTACTGTCTTTGGGTGAAACCAAAATATAAAAAAGAGAGAAATCATGTACTGCTTACTTAACATAAAATATAGATGAAGTGCTAATTCAAGATATTTTTTGGCTAAATGTCATTTAAGTGCGCAATGTAACTTTTATGATGGACGCAGCTGCTTGTTACATTGGCTACATTTACCAACATTACATTATATTATATTATATTATATTATATTATTATATTATTATATTATATTATATTATATTATATTATATTATATTATTTTATATTATAGGACAGACAGCAGCAGGACATCAGTTTTTTGTGTCTGGCATAAAATCAAACAATCAATCATTATGAACTAATATTCTCTGACTTCAATTGCTGCCAAAATTTGAAAGCTTCATAGTTGATTTTGTGAAAAATGAGGCCACTCCATCCGACATCCTGACAGAACTGCACTGTTAAGAGTTCAGAATACTCTTATGCTGATGAAAACATTATTTTAAGATGATTTACTTTCATCCCTCTTTTTTGTAATGAATAATTATTACTTGTCCCGTAATGTTTCTGATGAGATATGAAGCAGATCAGCCATATCGATCAGCACATTAGGGGTGAATGCTGATCGTGGAGGACTGGTGACCAAATTGCAGAGGATTTTACAACCTTGATTGCTAGTCAGGAAATTTCCACCAGAATAATCAGTCTGGCCTAATTTGAACACTGAAAGCGTAAACACGAAGCACAATGCATCACACCATTACTTAGAGCCTATTCATTGTAGGGCTGATAAGCACTGAAGTGAAACATCTATGCAACTTTCCAGGCAAAATAAAAGCAATCTTTATGTGGTTAAAAATATCAGGAATGAAATGTCCTAGATTATGCAAAATTGACTTTTGTGAGATTTAAGATGTGATAGAAAGTCGTTTCCTCATCAAAACATACTTGGAGTTGTGTTTTGTTTCATTGTCACATTTTGAGCAATATTAGATCTACATCTCCAAAGCTCAAAATATTCAGCTCCATCTTGTGATGTCAGAAAGCAGCAGTTATGAAGTTAACAGATTGGCATTCCCAGGTGTGAAATCATCTGAATTATTCTAGTGACAGTCTAAGGAGTTTAAAAAACACAGTGGAGTACTTCCTGCATTATCACATGACATCACAAGGTGGAGTGTTTTCTGCTTGAGAGAAGAGCTCAGCCAAAATATGCAGGGTTTGTGTGTTAAATGTGTGTGAATGAAACAAAACACAACTCCAGGTTTGTTTTTGATGAAGAAACAGCATTATAAAAGATCAGAAAACAGCGTAATATGAGTCCTTCAAAAAAGCTTCCAAAACTAGATAAGAACAATGTGACATTTTTTAACAAGGTTTTTTTTTAGGTTTTCTGCACTTGACTAGTTCTAAAATGAGGCTCATCCAATTCTGAAGATGGAACTAGTCTGGTTAAAAAATTGATTAGGGTCAGTTTTGTGCGCCAGCCTCTTCTGGTTTCTGTCCAAATGAATCAGACAACCTTGAAACTTTGGACAGCCCAATCATTACCACTTATTTGTAGCACACATCTCCCAAATATGGAAGACATCTTTGCATGAATATCCTTTCATCCTTCAGAACAAAAATGATAATAATTTTTTACCCCAAATTTACCCCTGTGTTGTTTGTTTTTCATTCTTTTGTTTACTCAAAATGCACATCAATCACAGGCATTGAAGAATTCAGTTCCAGACTATATGTTATCTTTGTAATTTATAAGAAAAGTATCTGGCCCATCTGATCATAGGCAAAACTTTTTACATAGAAGAAGTAACTTTACCACTATTACCTCAATAGTGTCACACTGCATTGTGATACAGAGCCAAAATGACTGTTCCAAGTGTTGTTAAAGGTAGGGGGCTTTGTCAAACCTGTGTAAAATGCATACATATGAATGACTCACTGTGTTCACATTGGTCTGTGGTCTTCCTCTTCAAATACGAGAATGAATAAATATGAGACCCTCAGTGAAAAAACACCCCGTTCTAAACTCTTCCCATTATAGTATTATAAAGTCAGTTTCTAGCCCACTTTCTTTTTCATGAATTTCATCTACAATATGCCATAAATGTAACAGGCAATCATGTGCAGCATGTGGTCTCTGTACTGTGGGAAAATGGTGTAGCCTCAAGGAGTGTTAATTATTATTCAATAAATGGGTCAATCATCAAGACCCTCTTCATTATTTGTACAAACGTTTGCATGTGAAGTCTGCAGGCGAAACTCTACAGTAACAAAGTCTATGCTAAAAGCTGTTAAAACGTCAAAGGTCGTTGGATTTGGTCATAGGTCATTAACCCATTTATACACCATATAAAAGCCTGATGTGCTGCTGTGACATTCCAAATTGAATATAATCATTTCTTGTAGGTGGATTATGTAAATATTCTGGTGGGGGTTTACTACCTGCTTGTCTCTATGCAGTTGCTATTGCTGTGTCTGATATGTTGCAGAATGAAATTAACATATCTATTGTATATCCATTTAATTTCACACTGGTTTATTAATTCTTACTATGAGTGAGGCCGCCTCTGCACGGATCTGACCTGTAACCTGGTCTGTCGGAGTTGCTTGCATGTTAGCATACCCTCCCGTAGAAAAGTTACATAATGCACCTTATGTTACAGTGATTATAATATTTAAAATGGAATCTGTTGGTAGAAAAGTAAAACATATTGCCTATCTTTCACATTGAACAATAATGTCTAGATCAAAATGAAGAATATATCTGAAAAGGGTATTTCTGGGACACTGTATAGTTTAATTATTATTACTGTCGTTTCATAGAGCAGTGGTGTGTAGTGACAGAAAACCACAGTGGAGGAACAAGGGAGAGACATTTGGTAAATTACATAGGAGAGCTGCTCTCTTTATGTGTCACATTTCCTTGTTACTGAGCTATATCACACACCAGGATTCAAACACTGAGGCTTATTTTTATGAGCCTTCTGGCTGTTTGTGTAAAACTGTTTGTGTTTTTCTCAAAGTATGGCCTGAAATAACAGAAAATCTGACCTTTTCTTTCTTGATGATGGTTCATCTCAAAAATGCTAGCTTGCTTTTGGTGTTGGTACAAAAAATGCTTGATTTTGCTGCAGCAGTGGGGCGCATATTATAGAGTTGTCTACCTCTGTGACAGCTATAGCCTCTCTTGTCTGTCAAAGGAGAAGGCTCATTCCAAGCCTCACAAAAAAAATGCACATAACACAATCCTTTCACTGTGCAGCAGGAACATTTCTTATTTGCTACGCTTTGTGGTTACTATTTATATTCGTTTATAGATTCCTCCAGATAGAGCTGCTTTTTTAGTACAGATAACAATGACATATAGGTAATGTGGGTTGCCATGACACACAAACAGATACCTGAAAAGTATAGGGCCTTTTGCCTACATAACTTTGAGTTATGTTGTTATCTCATCAAAAACATACCTGGACTTGTGTTTTTTTCATTCATTCATTGAGTAACCCTTTATTATTAATCACTCTATATCTCTAAGGCTCAAAATACTCTGTTCCACCTTATGATGCCACAAAATAGTAGTTTTCAAGTTAACAACTCCTTTTACATTTAGTTCAGAAGAGAATGGCTGAAATTATCCAAATGATTCTAGTGAAGGTGTATGGAGTTTATAAAGATAGTAGAATATTTTCTGTATTACCACATGACATCACAAGGTGGACATCACAAAAGTGTCTGCTGAGAGAAGAAGTCAGCCTGAATGTGCAGGATGTGTGTTAAACACGTGTGAATGAAACAAAACATGACTCCAGGTAAGTTTTGAAGAGGAGACAACATTATAACACAGATCAGAATATGGGCCCTTTTATACATAACATAGCCTATTCACCTTGGTGTATTACTTTGGTCTAGCTCTGGTGTACTGTTTTATGACTTCTTAATTAATGAACTTAATTTATTTTATTTTTGTGTACAATTTGCATTCTTCACAATGAGCAGGAGAAGAGGGAAAACTCATCTACTAGACATGTAAAAGTGTATTGTCTATTAAGAAAAATGAGTAAAAAGCTGCTAAATAAGTTGTAAACAAATAATTGAAACAGTGCAGTGTAATATTCCAAGAAGGCTAGTAAAAAATGTGATATTTCTGCATTGTTGTGTTATTTCCACTGTTTTGTGATTCTTGAACCTCAATGAAACATTTACAGGCACATTATCAGATGGACTGCAAAGCTGTGCTCTGATTATTAAAAACGCTATTCTTTATGGTCAGTATTACCCACCTCATGCAGAAAGCACTTTTCCCTGCTCCTTCTCCTCTTGTTCCCTTGTCCCTTGTGTTTCACAGAGTAGCAGAGTATAGGTCATGTACACAGCTGCTGGTGCTGATTAAAGTTGACATTCACTCATAAAACCATGTGATTTATGCCAGTAAAGCTCCGTCTTAATTGTTATGCAGCACATTTGGTCAGTATTAATACAAAAAATAAATAAATAAATAAAAAATAATAATTGTTTTAATTTTGTATTCAAACCAGACTAAAGAGCTCTCAACAAGCTATAGGATATGCACATAACGTATTGCATACTTCTAAATTTAGAAATTACTTTGTTGCCTATTAGGGACTTAATAGGCTAACACCAGCTTCTGCAGTAGCTGAGTGCACTACATGACTGTGAAGAGTGGCTATTATTGTTACAATTATAATGAAGAGACGGAAATTAAAACAAAGGATGTTCAAAGTCATGAAAGTGGATAAATTACATTTTATTATTATAATTTGCCTGACAAGAATCACCAAGGAGCTGGTGAGGAATAAAGAAGTCATTGTACATCCAGCTCCAAATAGAACTGGAAACAAATGGACATTAAAATGATGTTGATGATGATGATGATGACTGTGGATTTTTTTTTTCATTTGTGTCATTATTGTTGGAGCTGTCACTGAGAGTTGCTTTATTGTGTGTGGGTGTGTGTATTGTGAGAAATAACACAACAATATTTAATGTCACTCATATTCTCTCAGTTTATTTGGCAAAAAGGCACATTTTCTGGTGCCCTGACTGGTTCACCTGGGAGACCTTCAGCACCATTACTTTTAATGGTGCAGGAGTCTTCTAGGTGAACAAATACAAATTTTTAATCATAAACTCTACTTTTTCATTATAAAGCCAATCTCTGAAGCGAATGCCCGAGTAAACAGGAAACTACATGCGGTCAGCCTTCTTTGCATTTATTTCACGTCTTTGCACCTCTTCACCACATTTTTATGTACAGCATCGGTTTTGGTTATGTAAGATGAATTATAAACTTTATATATATAGTATTTTCTAACTTGACACAAGTGCTGTGCCTGGATAAACAGCTGTTGCTAAGTGATCTCAGAAGCTAAGCAGGGTTGAGCCTGGGTAGTACTTGGATGGGAGAGTGCTGGGAATACCAGGTGCCAAGAAAATTCATATTCATACTTAAAATGCTGTAATGGTTTTTATTTTAGAATGGGTTTGATCTATATCAGAACCACTATAAGAAAATACAAGGAGTGTGTTTAGCTTTGCATATTCATCTGCATAAATGCATACTCATGTTTTATTAACCACTGAGCAACAATAACATTTTTATTATTCCCACAGGTCTCTTTACTCTGTCTGGCCTCTGCATCTACATCCGCTATTCCAACCAGGCCATGGAGGAGTTCCAGCGGGTCGTGCCCCCACAAACCCTCACTTACGTGGACGCATCTTTTGGCTGGTCCCTTGCCTCTGCCTGGCTCTCCTTCAGCCTCGAGGTGATCACTGGGCTCTTGCTGTTGCTCGCTGCGCGGATCTGCCAAATGAAAGGACACTATGATTCTGGAGTAGCTATTGCCATGCTATAAAGAGTTATTTTTGTTATTTAAAAAAAGATAAAACCACGAACAGGCTTTGTAGTGTTGCATGCACTGATAAATCGAGGTGTAATTTTCTGTCTATTGTCTCCACTGAACACTGATGTAACACATGGAGCTAAGCAAACAAAATGAGAATAGAGTAGTTTCTAGTAGTAATTACAGCCAGCTATTTGCAAATGTGTTCAGTGTTTTGAATGCTATTGATGTCTTTGTGCCATGTTGTTGTCCAGACTGACGCTGTAGGAATATAGCTGAAGCTGAGGATATGCAGAAGGTTTTGAAAGATGGCTGTCACTGAAAAACTGGCACTTTGAGGCCTTCTTGTCTCTAATTATGAGGTGGGTGATGATATAAAATCAGTTTGTAATTGGATCATGATAAAATGTTATGATTCAAAGCTTTTTTTTTTTTTTAAATCGTCAATCTTTCCTCACTTGTTTTACGTGTTATTTAAGCACTATGTAACTTTTGGTTGGGGGTCCGTCACCTTCTTGTTTCTATGGATATGTCACTGCTTTGACTGGAATGTTCGGTGTATGGCATTAAACAGCTCTGCCTTACATTTGTTAAATTACAGGTGGTTTTATAGCTCAAAAATACCTAGATTTTAATTTTTTTTTACTGTGAGTGGGGTCGTCTCTCCACAGATCTGACTTGTAACTTGGTCTAGTTTGGTGTCCTTGAAGATAGAAAGTCTTAATGATATACTGTGAAGTATTCCAGACAAAGCAAGAATATCTCCATGGAGAAAAGCATTTGACGGACAGTTCACCAGTAAAATTACACAATGCACCTTTAAGACTCTAAAGAGAAATAACATTACTTAATGCTCCATCACCCACCCTGGCCAAAGAAATCAGAATCAGAAAAAAAATAAGTATAAACTATGATACATTAACACTGTGAATGAAGATGCATACATGGTGCTATGTTTTATAATGCTGCGCTTCGGCTATTGTTGATAACTTGCTGACGCTACACATGCAGAGATAGGCAATCGTTCAGATGTGCTGGAAAATACAAAAAGGAGAAGCAGGGTACAGATGGGTTGTTTTGCACTGCAGTGGTAAAGGCTGTCCTGGGAATATTCTGGGGGATTTTCAGTTCACTAATTCAAAATGCCTCTGTCACAAGAAAGATTCTGGCAGTTTGCTCTAATGAATCTTACCAAAAGAAACGAAGGCCAACCAAAATGATTTCTCACTTTTTCCTGAATGGAAATAGATTTTGCTATAAAAGTGATAAGCACATAGAATGAACTTGTAATATGCCATTAGTATGTTAATATCCTTACAAGTAATTAATGGGAAAAGGATGGAATATTTTTTGGTGCAAATCGAAGATGCTTGGAGGTTAAGGATGAACACGTTTTACTAGGTCTGTCACGATAATTACTATATAGTATTACTGTACTATTAGTATAGTACTATTACTATTACTATTACTATTACTATTACTATACTACAACTTCTTGTTCACTTTATGAAAGTGGGAACAATATAGTATTTTGGGTTTCAGTATTCATTGTGTGTACAAGTTCTTTGCAATAGTGGGTTATTTTTTCAGTTGTTTTTATTGTAATTTGAAAAAACAAATGAGCTGCAGAGGGCTGAAAATGTAACTTCTGTGACTAATAATTGCTTAATTCTGCTATTTATTTGTTGCTTCTCATGCTTTTTAATGTTACTATCTATTTAAACTATTTTACTTGGATTATCCTGCATTATTGTTATGGTGTGAGGGGCATAAAATAGTTCCAATGTTACATCTTATCGCAGTATATCTCTATAGCGATATATCGTATTGTATATCATACTCAAAATGTCATATCGTGACAGGCCTATGTATTACTTCGGTGAAGGAAAAGTATGTGCTTGCTATGATTAATTGCTAAACAGCTTTTTCAAAAGACAACTCTTGTGTGATTTCTATAAAGATCACCTGTACACTTTACAGGTTAAAACTTTCAATGAACAAATCTTGTATAAAACAATGTTTAATAAATGTATAACCATTTGAATGTATCTAAGCCCATATGAGAACCTTAGAAATCACTACGCACCAGAAAAATGGGAAAACATTGTATTAATGCATCAGGGCACTTGTTAAAAGACCTCCTGAAAGTATGTCAGTACTTCTGTGTTTATCACAGACCCACTAATGTGCCTGGACACACTGGTTTTCTTTTATGTGAGGTCCGTATAAGGACATGCGAACAAGAGCACTTTGTGTATTTTTTTTGTGCTTGTGTACTATCAATATGTTTTAATCTGTTGTGTGCTCTAAAAATACAGAATGGGGCATTAATGTATATTATAATGGATTTTCTCTTTGTCTTGTTCAAATGTAAGTGTATTATGTTACCTGTTGCAGTGTTTTGCCTTCCTTTCACTGTTTTCTGAAAATACAATACAAGTGACGTATTTCTAGTGCTTGGTGATTCTGAATGTAAATATAGAGGAAGCTACTGGGAATCAATAGAATTACCACTAACAACCTGAAAAGAACAAATAGTCCAACCAATAAGCCTTACCTCTGCTCTCTTGTGCTGATAAGATTTGTGTGTGTGATTGGCAACAACAGAGGCTCTTCAGAATACCCCATGTAACACAGAGCAATGTATTGTGTGAGAACAAGCACATGGAGTTACATCATGTTAATCTACCACTAAAGCAAAGACAGAGGAAAAATCTCACTCTTCTCCAGGCTGCAGTTTTTAAGTACAAGACATTAGCCATGGCAACATTTATAGATGCGTGCAGTGTGCAAAACTGGAGTAAATGCTGTGCATTGGGTCATTGAGTGATCTAATTTGGTTAAATGCAGAATTAACAAAAAGGCTTTATATTCCAGACATCGAGTCATAAATTGTTGCCCATTTTGCAAATTAGTGTGGTCAAAAGCTACAATAATAGATTAAAGTCACATCAAACATGTTATTTTGTGAGCTGAGTTAAATAAAATTATTGTCTGGGTACTATACAAGTTCAGGATAGTTTGTTTGCCATTTGAAGTTCAAAGTGCACCATGAGATCTTCAAAACAACTATGTGAATAAACCAAAGGCAATCATTACAGATGACACTCCGACACTGTAAAATAAAGATACAAGATACAAAGATTGTACAAAGAAGTCACCAAAATATTAACCTTTCCATCATCATGGAGACCAAGACAGGCCAAGTTACTGGTCAGATCTGTGGAGAGGCGATCCCACTCACTGTCAGAATTCCTATTTTACATTTTTGAGCTATAAGACCATCTTGACCAAATGTCAGTTAGATTTGTTTAAAGGCATACTTTGGAACATTCGAAGCAGCGCAATGACATCCACAGAAAAAAGAAGATGACAGACCCCCAATCGAAAAAAGTTACATAGTGAAACTTTAATGCATAATGAACAATAGTTTATGAATGATTCTTAGTAAGGGGTTTAGGAGTGAGGGTATTAATGAGTTAATTAGGTAGTAACTAAGCACTATGCAGCTTTTCCAAAGGACGGAGCGTCACCTGACTTGTTTCCATGGAGATGTTGGTAATGTACAAGAGATTTATCATCTTACATTTATTCAGTTGCAGGTGATTCTATTGCTAAAACAAAAATCTCTCCATAGACCTGACCTGTAACTTGGCCTTCTTGTCTCCATGGAGATAAGTTTAATGCCATGCTGCAGAACATTCTCGGCAGAGCACTGATGGTGGGGAAAAAAGTTACTTAGTGAAACGTTACTAAACTATTCATTATTATTTTAGTCTTTGGTCCGTGCTTTATTAAGGCTATTAAAAGTGTCTGATGTATTTAATTTATGTACATACAAATCTGGCCCACATAAAACACTTGTAAACAAAAAGACAATGTTCTTTTGTTGTCAGCCCTCTTATGTCAAAACAAAGCATTATGAATAGCCATCATGATAAAAAGGACCCATCTATAAAAAGCAACCTGTTGAAAGTGTCTTTATCTGTGACTATACCCCATTAAAGAGTGTTTTTTGTTTTGTCCACAAAGCCATTTAAAGCCTGTAGTATAAGTCAAAGTCCAAAGAGTGAAACGCATTGTCTACTCTGTTTGCTGACTGGTCCTGTACTCGGTTGAAACTGAGAAATAGCTTACAAGAAAGAAGCCTCGCTCAGCTCCTCACTCACTGCTCGCTTTTTTATATTAAGCCCGACTGAAATCCCATTAAACTTTTATAGAAGAAAATAATTCAATCGGCTATGGCAGAGGAGCACCCGAGCTGGAGGTGGGTCATTACTCTCATTCTGGTGCCCTTGGTCCTCGTATAAGGCAGTAAATTTGACCTAAGACAACCTCAGACAGTTTATGAAATTAGAGGAGAAAAGAGGATTGTGCTTTTAATTACATTCTTCGCATGGAATCTATCACTGGGCACATTTATGTACTTGGCTCGTAAAAATAATTATAATTAGTGTCATCAGATATCCCATAAATCATATTTTTGTATTTTAAAGGACTTCTGTGAGCTTTTAGCCATGTTAGAATGTTGTTAAGTCCTCAAAAACATACCTGGAGATGTGTTTTGTTTCATTCACACTTGTTTGAGTAATCCTTTATTATTTGTCTATCTACATCTCCCAGGTTCGAAATGCTCTACCTTGTGATGTCATGAAGCAGTAGTTTTCAAGGTAACAGCTTCCTTTTGTTCAGCAGCGATTGGCAGTTCCAGGACTGAAGTAATGCCATGATATCACAAGGTGGAACAGAGTGTTTTATGTTTTGGGAGAAGAACACATAGATATGCAGGAATTGTGTTAATTAAACATGGAACAAAATAGAACTCCGGGTAGGTATTGATGAGGACATAGCATTATAACAGATCAGAAAATAGACATTTAAAGACAAAGTACAATTAATTCTAAAATAACTCTTGAATCTTTAACATTTTCTCTTACATTTTGTAAATATGCAGCATAATATTTCTTGTAAAAACCTGCACGGGTGTAAACAACAAAAAGAAACCAGATTACTAACATCAGATGTAACTGTTTCCAA